GCAAGATGATTCAACTCGACCCGCCGCCTGATTTCTAAAAACCGAAGAAACGAAAAGAAAAAGAAAAGAAAAAAAAAAAAAAAGACGGTCGATGTTCAAAGTTATCGTTTTATTCCATTTTAAATGTTTACTGTATAATAAAATTGTAATATAGTCGTTGGGCAAATAAAGCTCGTTTTTTCGATATATACACACATATCACGGAACAAATGATTGGGACCCTCTGTCCCATTCGTGTCCTTTCGTGCGATTAATTTCATGCCTATTCTACTTCCATCAAAAAAATGAAAGTGCCTTGGTGGTGTTGGCATGCATAAATCTTCCCCAATTTTTCTTGAATTCCGATATAAATCTCTTCAATCTGTGTCTATTAAACGACGAATATGTAAGACGTGGATCCTCGGATCAAGTATTCAGTGTATTTTGCTTTGCTTAAAGTTTGCTATCTCGTCTCGAGGAAACTTTCAAACGGAATCGAGACTTCTGTTCATCTTTGGAAGAATAAATCATCATGGAGGAAGAGATAAACGTTCGAATAGAAGATCCATCGATTCCAAAATCGTTCGATAATATATGTTTCTTGGTTGTTAGATGTTAAAGTTGTACGATCGAACAATTGTTCAAAATGGATCACTATCATCTCTCGAATGATTCACTTCAGCGTTTGTTCGGCGATCGTCGTATTTAGCGCAATGGATTTCGCCAATTTCAGCGAGAAATTCATCAATGAATTGTTCAAAATCATGTATTTCATGAACGAGACCGTGTATCATCTTGCACAATATTAATATTACGTTTACCATGTAGTAAGATATTATGACAAATGGATGAAGATTTTGAAATCGTTGGATAAAAATATCTGCAAAGAATTGATCGAAGATGGATATATAAAGATGAGTCAAATCTTGGTCATTCTTATAGTCATATTATACGGTCTAATATCGTTGATCCTTCACATTCTTTATTATTATTTCATCTTTATTATTATTTGATCATCACATGATCAAATTTTTGCATCCGATGCGCAAATTTTAATAAACAGTTTCGTGTTCAATGTCGTTACATATATAATATGCCACAGATTTAGAGCGATCAAGATCAAACAGTTGAATGAAAAAATAACGATCTGTTGGATTGCTTTGAAAATCCAGGAGAATTAGGAAACTGCACAATGGCACGTAACCGATTAGCCTTAATTCCTGGCATATGTATTTAGAGTGACGTAAATTGGATAGAGCTTACCTCATTTTGAAGATTTCATCTTTTATTTTAAAAAAAGAAATTTATTTCCGTCCCTCGTTCTATTATTAAAATGCTATTATTAAAAATGACGCATAACATCATTTATGCATTATCTCATTGATTTTTGTAGAATTATGTTCTGTAGTAATAATAGTAAATGATATTTATGGTCTATTGTTATGTTCTACAAATTCTTTTATAATGATGATCTCGAAGCTGTTCAGAATCTATATGAGCGCCGCAGAGCAGAAAAATGGTTTTATATTTTCCTGAATAACGTGATTTGGATAATTTATGCCAGTTCACTTTGATGTGTTGGGTATGTATGCTGATCCATCGAGAGATAAATAAAATTGGATTACACGTCAACGAATTTGTACTGAATACCTAATATTCGACTAAATTTAACAAAATAGCAATTTTTCTTCAAAAATTTTCGTAATAAAGAATCACAAGAATTAAAAATTTGTAACAATGAATATGATAATGCCATTTTGAATTTGAATACATTCGGAATGGAAAGTTTTCTAAGATCTAATTTTGAACGTGCGAAATGAAATCAATGATTTCTTGTTAAAATTATGATAATATATAGTAATATAGAATTATATTTACCGCGTGCGATTTCTTTGAAATGGATAATTCTTTACTAACCAGAGTAAGTATTATAATATCCAATTAATAAGTATATTGTAAATTTGCATATTGTAAATTTTTCGTATTATATAATTTTTCGTTTATCAGCATTATTATCACGTATTTAATCATTCTGGTTCAATTTTACAAACCAGAAAATTATTAAATATCAAAAATAAAAAACATTGATCGATAAATCGATTTAAAAAATTAATAGACACAATATAGAAATAAATATTTAAACGTAGTGATTTTTTTTTATAACAAATTTATATTACCAATCTTTTTAAATACAAGAAATAAAATCTCTTTCTTGCAGGAAATAAAGTCTCTGATCTCAAAAAATATGCATTATCAATGTAAACAAATATGAAAATCGATGATCATGACTGTGCAAAGTTTGAGTTGAAATAAATACAATGAAACGAAAAAGATATTTAATGTTATGGATGATTTCTTGTTTTTTTAGTCTACTTCTTCGATGGTTGGTCCTCCAGCACCACCGCCTCCTGTAGCAGCACCTGGATGGAACCCTCCAGGTGTAGCTCCTCCCTGATATAATTTAGTGACAACAGGATTGCAAACGGATTCCAATTCTTTCTGCTTATCGGCGAATTCTTCCTTCTCTGCCAATTGATTTGCATCCAACCATGAAATCACTTCGTTACACTTATTAATGACCTTTTCTTTTTCCGTTGAATCGATCTTATCTTTGATCTTCTCATCTTCCATTGTACTCTTCATATTGAAACAATAAGATTCTAATGCATTTTTGGCAGTTATTCTTTCACGTTGTTGTTCATCTTCATTGCGGTATCTTTCTGCTTCGTTCACCATTCTCTCGATATCTTCTTTTGACAATCGACCTTTATCATTTGTGATGGTGATCTTGTTCTCCTTTCCGGTTGACTTTTCAATTGCGGATACATTCAGAATACCTATAATTTCAGAAAGGAAAATTATTAATTTATTAATGAATATATTGAAGATATTTTATAAAGAAATATTGTATTGAAAAAAGATAATGCACATACCATTAGCATCGATATCAAATGTGACCTCAATTTGAGGTACACCTCTAGGTGCAGGTGGAATGCCAGTAAGTTCAAACTTTCCAAGAATATTATTATCTTTTGTCATAGCTCTCTCTCCTTCGTATACTTGAATCAAGACGCCAGGTTGATTATCGGAATAAGTAGTGAAAGTTTGTGTTTGCTTGGTTGGTATCGTCGTGTTCCTCTTGATCAAAGTTGTCATCACACCACCAGCTGTTTCTATACCCAGAGATAATGGAGTGACATCCAATAGCAATAGATCCTGAACTTCTTGAGATTTGTCACCATGCAAAATAGCGGCCTGTACAGCTGCGCCATAAGCAACAGCTTCATCAGGATTGATCGATTTATTCAATTCTTTTCCATTGAAAAAGTCCTGTAGTAATTTTTGAATCTTTGGTATTCTGGTAGAACCACCGACTAAAACGATACTGTGAACATGAGCTTTGTCCATCTTGGCATCTCTCAAAGCCTTTTCAACTGGTTCCAATGTGCTCCTAAATAAATCCGCGCAAAGTTCTTCAAATCTGGCTCTGGTAATCGATGTGTAGAAATCAATGCCCTCGAAAAGAGAATCGATTTCGATGCTGGCTTGTGTTGAAGAGCTTAAAGTTCTCTTTGCTCTCTCACAAGCGGTCCTCAATCGTCTAAGGGCCCTCTTATTCGAACTTAAGTCTTTCTTGTATTTTCTCTTGAACTCCTGGACGAAGTGATTCACCATCCGATTATCGAAGTCTTCACCACCAAGATGAGTATCGCCTGCTGTTGACTTCACTTCAAAGATGCCATCTTCGATAGTCAATATGGACACATCAAAGGTGCCACCTCCCAAGTCAAAGATCAATACATTCTTTTCACCTGCAGTTTTTTTATCTAAGCCATAAGCAATCGCCGCCGCGGTTGGTTCATTAATTATTCTTAAAACGTTTAAGCCTGCTATTGCTCCCGCATCTTTGGTAGCTTGTCTTTGTGAATCATTGAAATATGCGGGGACGGTAATAACGGCATTGGTAACTATTTTTCCTAAGTAGGCTTCTGCAGTTTCTTTCATTTTCGTGAGAACCATCGAAGACACTTCTTCGGGGAAGAAAGTCTTCGTTTCACCTTTATACGAAACCTTGATCTTAGGTTTTCCTCCATCGTTCATCACCGTGAATGGCCAATGTTTCATATCACTTTGTACTGTTGTATCATCGAAGCGACGACCGATCAATCTTTTCGCATCTGTTTAATAAAACATATCATAATTTACAAATTTAATTTAAATAACAATTTAAATATATAGAAAGAAAAATTATTAAAAATAAGAAATATGAATAAATTAATGAAAGAATGTATAATTATATTGTTTCTATTAATATCTTTTACGCTTCAACATTCTCGTTACATTATTTTCAAACAGATATAAAAAAAATATAAAATATTTTATAAAAATAAAAATAAAAAATAAATATATATATCAGAGAAAACTGTAACTAAAAAAAATATTAAATAATAATATATTATGAAATTGGTGTAATGCGCAAAGTATCACACTTTTATAAATGAAGCAAAAGAATAAAATTGTACGAGGTCAGTAATGAAATTCAACACTATGACTTACTATTCTTTAGTCTATGTGTAAACATAACAAATCTACATATAGAGAAGTATGATATCAATACGAAGTTTCGCGAAGAAAAATACACAAAAAGATCGATATAACGAAGTATGTAATTTCCTTATTATATAATATTTGCAAATTGCAATATATATTTATTTCAAACATTTTAAAAATATTTTATAAAAAAATATTTTATTATATTTTAATCATTTATATTTTTTTTTATAATTTATAATTAAAATATAATAATACTGATATTACAGTAAAATAAAAAATAATATATGAAATGAAAAGTGAAGAATAAATTGAATTATTAAATTTGGCTTTTACTTACCAAAAATAGTGTTGTTTGGGTTCATTGCAACCTGATTTTTGGCCGCGTCGCCAATCAATCTTTCTGTGTCCGTGAAAGCGACATAACTTGGTGTCGTTCGATTTCCTTGATCATTTGCAATGATTTCAACTTTTCCATGCTGGAAAACACCCACGCAAGAATAAGTAGTGCCTAAATCAATTCCAACTGCTGGAGCCTTCGACATGTTTTATCGCTGAAAAAAAAATATAATTTATAAATATGTAACTAAAAAATATATATAAAAAATATATAAAATATATAAAAATATATAAAAAATTAATTTTATTTAGTTTATCTTCTAACATTCGATATTTAACTATTTTTTTTTGTTCGCATAGTACGTCCAAATTAATATAATGTAGGAGATCACATCATATTAACATTTATCATAAATATTCTAAAAAATTTAATCTATTATTTAAAACTTATTCGTAATTTATTGTAATTTAAAACTTATATTCAAAAAATGATATTGAATAATAAAACGCAATAAGAAAGATGATATACATTATAAATTTGTCTATAATTGTATGTACTATTTATAACCAATTTAAATCACACTGTTAAGTTTTGCTTCAAGTTAATAGTAATTGACAAGTTTATGAAAACTCGAAATTTATCGATAAATGTGGAATCCGATTCAAATCTCAGTTCTTAAAATCCAACGGTAAAACTTTCAAAGGATCATTTTTAAATAAAAAAAAAAAATCAAACTCGAAATCTGTCAATATTTTATCAATATGATGCAACTTCATGATGTTTGTATCGTTAGTCTTTTCATAGTATATTTACGCACTTAAACATAAAAAATTACTCAATAAGTAAATTATAAACATGCTATCATGATGTATTCAAATTACTTACATTTTCTATCGTTTGTTTCGTATATATCACAGAATAAATCGCAATGTAATAAATTATACGTAAACGCAATGTTCACTTCTCGCTTTCCAAACTCTGTCTGAGTGTGATACGCGCGGGGGTCTTTTAATACACCAAACCTCGCGCTTCGAGAAGTTTCTGTAGATGACCAATCACGGCATTTCGTTTATTCAAACACACATTCTTATTGGCTCAGAAGTTTCGATGCATCTAGAACAAGGATAAATATATCAGAATGAGGTATAACTTACCGACAAAAAGAGAGAGAAATATGATGGTAGAAATACGAGAAAATGCTGGAATATATTACGTTCAAGATCGCGGTTATATTTAGCATGCTAAATATTTTCTTGTTTATTTGTAAAACTTAAGTAGTTATAATTATATACACATCGATAATATCAAAGATATGAAAAAATACAAATGATTTAATATATTATAATATATATTTAATTGATTTCCAAAAATTTAAGTCTGAACATTTATATAAATAATAAACAAATATACTGTATATATAAAAATATTTTATATATTATAATGAAGGATATTACTATAATTATAAATATAAATTATATTTCTTTTGATTTTCCTTTTAAAAAATCAACAATAAAAATTATTAAAATATTATATTAATATAAAATTTGTACTTGATCATAGATATAAAAATTTATATCAAATTGTTAGATAATTAAATTAGATAAATATATTTAAAATATTAAAAATATTACTAATCATTTATGCATATACATATTTAAATACTATATTATTCAAATAACAAACTTTATTAAATTAAATCAAAATTAAATAAAATTAAATTAATTAAATTAAATTAATTTATATTATAAATTATAAATTAAATAAATTTAAATTAAATTAAATTAAATAAAATAGTTTTTAAAATATGGTTATATATATTTAATCTAGAACAATTCAATAATTGTAGTAAAAATAAATTTTCAAAAACATATTATATTTATGTAACAATTTATATATCTTTCTTTGAATATATATTTTAATTTAAAAATAATTTAATTATGTCAGTGAAACGATATTATTGCTTTATTATTACATCACATAAGATTGACTGTTACTAAATATGTTAATAACTACATATATGACTACATACACTAGAATAATACTATATAAAAATAACTTTAGGTACATAATAATCAAAAGTAATAATAAAAAATCACTAATATGTATATTTTTTGTATTTTTATTATAAATAATTGTTTATTTATTCTTGGTATTTTATAAAAAGATTAATAATGTATTAAAAAATATCTCTCTGCATATTAGTATTGTAAATGATTTTTTTGAAGTTGATATATTTATTAACTTTAATTCAAATATTTGGCGCGAAATAAAATTAAAGAATTTATATACACTATATTTTTATCTTAAAAGAAAACAATTCATGCTTATTAAAATTAGAACTTTTATTTTCATTTTTTTTTCTTTATTATAAATGTAATTATTTTACATCATATACATTATAATTACTATACATATTATAATTTAATCTAATTTAATATTCGACTCATTTCTCGATATTTCGATCAAAATCTGAAAACCGTATTAATGAAATGAATTCATCTGGAAAAATTAAGAAATTAGATGAAGTTGTAGTAAATAGGATTGCAGCTGGTGAAGTAATACAAAGACCAGCAAATGCATTAAAAGAACTAATTGAAAACAGGTTAGATATCTAAAAATCATATGATTGTTATATATATTTTTTCATTATTAACTTGCTTCAAATGTTTCAGTCTTGATGCAAAAGCAAATAATATACAGATCATTGCTAAAGAAGGTGGATTAAAGTTATTACAGGTATTTTCTTTCTCTATTTAAATTAAAAAATAATTATTATAATTTAATATTTATTTATAATGTTTATTTATAATTTAATATAATGTTATTAAACCCAGATTCAAGACAATGGAACAGGAATCAGAAAAGAAGATATGGAAATTGTTTGTGAAAGATTTACAACTAGTAAATTACAAACATTTGAAGATCTTCAAACAATATCAACTTTTGGATTTCGTGGTGAAGCTTTAGCAAGCATTAGTCATATATCGCTTTTAACAATAACAACAAAAACAGCAGATGAAAAATGTGCTTATAAGTATGTTTAAATATGTATATATAATTGTTCATAAATTTTAGCAATTGTTTTGAAAATATTCTTTTTGTTCATTTAAGGGCATCATATGTTGATAGTAAATTAAAAGCACCACTTAAATCATGTGCTGGAAATCAAGGCACTACTATAGTAATTGAAAATTTATTTTATAATGTTGCAACAAGAAGAAAGGCTTTGTCAAATCCAAATGAAGAATTTAATAGAATTACAGATGTAGTTACAAAATATGCAATTCATAATGCAGATGTAGGATTTGTATTAAAAAAACATGGTGAAATAGCACCTCAGGTATTTTATCATATATAAAATTTTATAATTTTAAATATTTTTATTCATTTATTTATTTATTCATAAATGTTTTTAACATTTAGATTCGTACACCACATAATTCAACTAAAATGAATAACATACGAATACTCTATGGTAATCCTGTATTTCGTGAATTATTAGAAATAGAATTTAAAGATGATATTTATAAATTTAAAATGCATGCTTTAATAACAAATGCAAATTATACAAACAAAAAGATGACATTTCTCTTATTCATTAATAACAGATTAGTAAAATCTTCTTGTAAGTTTTGAAATATTAGAATAAAAAATTTAGTTTTAGTTATAAAGTTATATTATACAGATATTCTATTTTAGCTATTCAAAAAATGTTAGAAGAACTTTATACATTTTATCTTCCAAAAAAGACTCATCCATGGTGTTATATATCTTTAGAAATTGAGTCACGAAATATCGATGTTAATATACATCCGACGAAACATGAAGTTAAATTTCTTCATGAAAATTCTATCATTGAAAAAATGAAACTCGCTTTAGATGAAAAATTATCTGCAAATAGTGCTTCTAAAACATTTTACTTAAAAACTCGGCTACCAAAAGCAGATATTACTAAAGAAGTTTTGAAAGAAATTTTACCAGAATATGAAGAAGATAACAGTAACAAAATAAAAAAAATTCGTCCTCAAGAAATGATCAGAACTGATGCTTCTGATCAAAAACTGGATAAATTTAATTTTATGATTCATACAGAAATGAAATATGTTAAAAATGATGACACTCATAAAACTCATTTGAATACAAAAACTCAAAATAGTATTGAAGAAAATATTGATGAAGAAAATATAGATAAAATACAATGCTTAACATCAGATATAATAAATATACAGCAAAAAGATAAATCGACGCATGTTGTAGATAATGAAAAAAATACAGATAAAATACAATGCTTAACACCAAATATAATTGATATACAACAAAAAGATAAATCAATGCACATTACAACAACAGTGGCAACAGAAAAATCTAATAGTCCATGGAGTAATATCATAAATGATACAAGTTCATCTACATCAGATTTTCTAGCATCTGATGAACCTAATATAAATTTATGTATTCAGAATATTAACAAAGAAGAAGAAGAAAAATTAAATAGTATGCAAGATATTTTAGAAATTACAAATGATGAAATAGATGAAGATACAGCAGATTCTATAAAAGATAAATGTATCGATGTTATTGCAGATAAAGCTCGTAAACAAGTATATAAATGTTTTGGAAATAAGAGCACTAAATCAGAAGAAAAAAAAATAATAGATAAAAATGATATAAGTAAACAAGAAATAAAAAATTACGAACCTGAAGAAAATAAACAACTCAATGAAATACAAAATGTTGAACAAACATCAAGCGAAATTAATAATGATAATGATAAAAATAATGATAATAAATGTTCATATGAATTTAAATCTTATTCAATAAATAATTTTAGAAGAGAAGTAAAATTAACGAGCGTTTTAAAATTACGAAAAGAAGTAGAAGATGCATGCCATGAAGGTCTGAAACAAATTTTATCAGAATTAACTTTTGTTGGTTGTATAGATCAGTCTTCTGCTTTAATTCAAAGCGGAGTTAATTTGTATCTTTGCAATACACAAAAATTAGCGTGAGCATCAATTTTTTTTCATAAAATTTTATAATATATATAAAAAAATTGAATTATATTTTTTTTTATTTAGGGAAGAACATTTTTATGAAATTATGCTCTATGATTTTGCAAATTATGCAGTCATTAAATTTTCGGTATGTATTTATGCAGATAAATAAAATTATCATTACATACATATACATACGTTTTTTACAGGAAGCACTTCCTTTATATGATTTAGCTATGTTAGGATTAGATACTAAAGAAGCTGGGTGGACAGAAGAAGATGGGCCAAAAGAAGAATTAGCTACTAGTGTTAAAGAATTATTATTGGAAAAAGCAGATATGTTAAAAGAATATTTTTCTATTGTTATAGATAAAAAGGGAAATTTAAAATCTTTACCAGTATTATTAGGTAAATATATTTTAATAAACTATCCATAGTTAAAATGTAATACAAAATTATGTTATTCTTTCAGAAAAATATTTTCCAAGTATAGAAGGTCTTCCTCTTTATATATTACGTTTAGCTACCGAAGTAGAATGGTCAACAGAACAACCATGTTTTCGAAATATTTGTAGAGAAACGGCAAAATATTATAGTCAAATTAGTCCCATACATGATATTCATGATTGGAAGTATATTACAGAACATGTTTTATATTCTACAATTAAGGAAAGTTTTCTTCCTCCCAAACATTTTGCACATGATTCAACAATATTACAAATAGCTAGTTTACCTGAATTATATAAAGTTTTTGAAAGATGTTAAATTTTTAAGATAGAATAGATTTTTCACAAAAAAAAGATTTTCTATTTTAATAATTAGTTAATTAAAATTATAATATGAATCATAGTATTAAAAAATCATAGTACTTCTTACATTGACTCTATGATTTATTTATTTATTTTTACGAATTTTGTAATAAATTCTATATTGAATTAAATATTATCTTTCTATATTATTTTAATGGAATGTAATAAATAAAAAATATGGTATGACAAAAAAACGATTTGTTTCATTACATATAAATCTATTTATGTTAATTAAAGAAACATAAAAATTTGTATGTATATTATATATATTTTTAAACCTAATAAGAATAAATTTATTTTTCATAAAATTTGTTCTTTTTTTTTTTTT